CCTGACAGCCACTCCCGTGAGAGCGGTGGGTCCCTTGGGGCCACCTCCGGGCTCCTTCCCACCGGACAGGACAAAACCCGTGGCCAGAAACACCGGCTGCAGCGACGGCCYGGGTATCAGCACCAGGAGCGAGTGCTCGGTCTGCAGAGCTCACGCTCAGCACTGCCCGTTGGGGCCGTGAAAGAGCGGACAAAGGCACAGTTCTAAGCTCAAACCCAAACTGTTCGTATCAGCTTTTGAGCAGCTTTTAGTGCACCTCAATTCTATGCATTGCACAGCGCATGCAGGGCAGGGAGCGTGGCTCCCGGGATGCACAGGCAGCGGCGCCCAGGGCCTATTCCCTGTTCCTTGGGAATTCAGTCCAGGGATGCTGCRCTTGCCGATGACGGGAATGACATGGGAATGCGCCAGGCCGTGCCGCTCACCCCTCTCAGGGCCCTGGCCCTGTGCACGTTTCCAGGCTATTAAGTATATTCAGGAGCTCGGCAAGGAGGACACGTGTGACAGTGACAAAACATGGGACCCTCGCACTGCACCAGCCCTCCCTGCGCCCAGCAGGGCTGCTCTGCTCCCCAGCACCAACCGAGCACCCCCATCCCTTGCCCTGAGCTCCGGAACGGGAGCATAAATAGCTGCGGGAGCAAGGAGACAGGACAGCACCGGGGCTGGCGGCTCCACGAGACACACCAGGCTCACGCACCACGGGACCCGGCCAGTGCAGCGCCCTGCTGAGCGCCTGCACCGGCCAGGGCAGCGGCCGGCACGCGGGCACCGCGCTGCACCCAGACCCATGCAGCGCCTGGCACGCGTGCACCGTGGTGCCACAAACCCAGAGCAGGGCCTGCACACCACGGCACCCAGGGCAGTGCAATGCTGTGCACACGTGCACCACTGCAACACCTGGCACACGTGCACCACGGCACCCAGGGCCGCGCAATGCTGTGCACACGTGCACCACGGCACCCAGGGCAGTGCAATGCTGTGCACACGTGCACCACGGCACCCAGGGCCGCGCAATGCTGTGCACACGTGCACCACGGCACCCAGGGCAGTGCAATGCTGTGCACACGTGCACCACGGCACCCAGGGCCGCGCAATGCTGTGCACACGTGCACCACGGCACCCAGGGCAGTGCAATGCTGTGCACACGTGCACCACTGCAACACCTGGCACACGTGCACCGTGGCACCCAGGGCAGTGCAACACCCATGCACATATGGTGGTGCACACGTTGCTGCAACACCTGCAGACAGCAGCACCAGAGTAGTGCAACAGCCCTGCACAGGCACCATGGCACCCAGGGCAGCGCCGTCCCCGGCCACCCCGCACTGCTCCCTTCCCCAGGGCTCCTTGGAGGGGAGGAGGCCGCGTCTCCCGCACACAAACACAGCTGGGAGCAGGGCAGGCCTCCTCCTCCTCCTCCTCATTGCAGCCACGAAACGTGAGGGACGAGGAACACAGGAGCAGCCACCTTTGTGCGCGGCCGTGGCGAGTCCTCGAGCGCTGCAGTGAGCGGCGGGAGCGGGACAGCGGCCCGGACGCCTGGGCCCCGCCGCCCACRCCAGGGCACAGTCTGCTCCGCCGTCTCGCGCCCGCATCACCCGGAATAGCTGCAGAACGGCTGCCCAGCAGCACCCCGGCCACTGCAGCCGCGGCACGTGCTTGCAGCTCCGCCGCTGCAACGCCTGCTGCAGAACCTCCTGCACCGCGACCCCCTGCCCGAGGGCACTGCCCCCTCCCAGACCCCCGGGCGGGCAGGTCCTCCCCACGCACCACGGGGACCCGCACAGGCACCCCAGCGCGCCCAGCCCACCCTTCCAACATAAACATGGTATTTCGCATCAGCTTTTCTGCCCATCTACCAATAACGGCAAAAAAACGTGCCTTGCCCAGGAGATCTCACTCCAAAAACAATAATAGACGGACGATACTCAAATACCTGATTTTTGCAGCGATTCACTTAATAGACACACCGAAAGTAAAAACGCTCTGCAAAGCCAAGCTGAATTCGCAATTTCGTAGATTAAGGTATATTAATTTGTAATCGCTGTTATTCTAATGCGGGACAAGCCTTAATCAAACTAATGGCRAAATTAAACGCGAGCCCCTAAAGCCTGCGACTCGCTGCCTGCGCAGGCAGCGCGCGCGGGCAACCCGGAGCAGATGCTCCCACACCCAGGTACAATTAAACACTTCCATYAGAAGGAGCAAGAACCGAGCGTAAGAGGGAAGGTGCGGGACTGCATTTACAGCTCCTGAGCTGAAAAACGCCTGGTTCGGGCAAATTCTTCAGCATTATGGTAGCCAAAAAGCCCCTTGCAACCGCAGTGCCAGCCATGAGCATCCTCCCTGTGCCCGTCASGGGCTCTGCTGCTCCACACCAGTGTTTTTGTTGCAGAAACAGCAGCGAGTCATTCTGAAAAATTTAGAGCATCTATGAAAATTCATTTTACTCTGGCAACTTTCTTWAAAAAATAGTAATAAKAATAATAATTTTAAAAGGTCCCTGGATTCTAATGGGAGGAAGCTGCTTGATTCAAATAACAGGTATGAAATCACTTTTCAAATGCACTGTGTATGGAAGGTAACTCTGGGGAGACTTTCTTAAAAATAATAATAATGATGATGATGATTTGAGGGCTGCCCAATCCCCCGGTGAAGGTCAGCGGCCGGATTGTTTCAGTGCTCCCTGCCGAACACCTGCAAACATCAAACAGAAACTCCTGCTCTCGGCCCCACTCACAAAAGCCTTTCATGTGAAAAATGCTCCCCGGGAAGGGAAGGAAGGGAAGGGAATGTCGCGGCGGCCGGGCTCAGGTTACATTCCTGCCTCCCGCTCAGGAGCCATGTTGGGGGAATTGCGGATTAAAAGCGGGGGAAAGARAAGGGGGCTCCGCTTTATTTCCGCTCGCACGTTACAAATCACAATAGAGCATCGTATATTAGGGGATACGATGCTATTAGGAGGACTTTAAGCATGAAATACTACTGCACTTCCTAAAGTACAGCTAGTTTCACTTCACTGCTTGGGATTACTTGTTTTGGGGGGGGTCTTTCTCTGTTTTGGGTTTTTTTTTTTGACACGGGAGCAGTTTGGGGCTGGTGGCGAGGAGGGACACCCGTGCTTCCCCCCCGCCACCTGGGACGCCTGCACGGTCCCTTTGGAAAAGGTGAGCGCCGGCTTGGAGAGGGCGCCCGTCCAGCCCGCCGGCTGCTCCCTTTCCACGTTAGCAATAGGTGTCATTGCAACGAGGAACCCCGCTCTTGTGTTATTAACGGAGCCCTCTCCAGGCCCTCCACGTATTTATCCGTCCACGCTGCCGCGCGAGCCAAGGCGCTGGGGCCGCAGCGAGCGGGAGCAGCCGGGGGAGCAGCAGGGAGGATAACCCCCTGCTTGGCAACCCGCTGCCCGCTCCCTTGGGAAGAGCGCCCGGGTGCCGGCGCGGGGAGCGYGGCCACGTGCCGTGCAGGTGCCCGCATCCCGCGGGACGTCCCCCACGCGGCCCCGCGTTCGAGCCGCAGCCGAGCGCACGGCTCGTCCCCGGAGCTCCCCGTGCGCCGAACTTCAGCTCGCTCCGTTATCCGCACACCTTAGACAATGCACCCGAGCGGCTGCGACGCCCTCCGCTCAGACCGCGTGAAATAAACCAAAACTCAATAAATCCTGACACTCGCTATTCCGATTTTCCACCCGCTTGGTGCTTCTGATCCAGCTGACTCCACGCAGGGGGTTACGGGCGTTTGCTGAACACGAGCAGCTCCTGCCCTGCTGCCGGAGCAAGTGCCGCCCGCCTGCGCCGGCAGCTTGACCAATTGATTCGCCCGGCAAATATTTGAGATTTCTCTCCAACAAAAACAAATATAACAGATACTAGGGATTCGGTCACGTGAGTCGTTAAAATTATATAATTCAGAAAATGATAAAGATGGGATTGAAAGAAAATCGTTAGCTAAGGAGAAACAAGGCAAATTATGAGTGGAAAGTTGTTCAAACCTAACAATAAAATTCTCCGAGTCACTACATTCAAATTATAACCAAATTTACGACGGTAAAGCAAAACTCCGCAATTATTTTGAAAGCCCGAACAGAATAAAAAAACGCATGAAACGAGCACTGAATAATTGCAGGGTGGCACTTGCTAAGTATCGTAGGAGCCGTCGCTGCGGGCAGCCCTCCCTTCTTGGGGAGCGAGTTGGCCGCGGTGTCGGTGCATGGACCGGGCAGCAGCAGCCCGGGCTGCCCGGTGCCTCCGAGCGGCGCCCGCCACGCCGCGCCGCCCCGGCGGCATCTCCCRCTGCTCCCCGTCCCACGGGCACGCAGGAACTCCGGGGAAAACTTGAGCTGCCCGCGGTCACCGGCCACCACGGCGCCCTGCCTTTTGTCACCTGCTCCCGGGCACGAAAACGCGCGGCCGGACCGCAACTCCTCCCGCCGCATTCGCAGACCCTCCAAACGCCACACGCTACTCCAGGGAAAACGCCCCACTCCCGAGCGGAAAAATGCGCCTTGCTGAATAACTCAATGGAAAAATAACTGGGAAAATATTCCGGCAGCAACCCCGGTGCCTGCCACTGAGCACCCTTGCCCRGGCAGAGCTGGGTGAGCACCGGCACGCTTAGTTATTTATTTAATTCCAGCAGCCTCCGCTCCTAGTCACAAAATTAATTCTCGCTCAAGATGCCTGGATTATCGCTGCTCCCGCACACAAAGATAGCAGCTGGAATGGGAAATAAACAACCTCCCATACTTAAGATAAAAAAAACTAAAAATAAAGAAATAAAAAGATTTGAAGTAGTCCACCTGGAGCTATCACACAAGTTTTTTTTTGTTTGTTTGTTTTTTAAAAGAAAAATCATAAATGCACCAAAACACCGTGAAAACGCCCCAGCCTGGTGGAATTAACAAGGCTCCGAGCCGGTGCAGCGGCAGCTCCCGGGATGGGCTGCCGGGATGCGCCCGGCTCCGGAGCCGCGCGCGGCCGCGACTGAGCGCTACCTACTTGAGCCGCTGAAGTGCCCGCTGGCCAAGGAGGTCGGTCCGTTCTTCCCGCTGCTCACGGGAGGGGAGAACATCTAGGAGAGAGCAGGGAAGAGGCCCGCAGAGGTGTTAGAGGCAGCAYGGAGCGACCGGCCGCCGCTCCCGCCCCGCTCGGCCGAGCCCGCGGCCGCCCCGGCTCCGCGCGCCAGCACAACCCGGGCAGCAAGTAAAG